AAGAATATACTTCATGGTGGTACTTCAGGGCAAAACCAGATGCATCCAGGCAAGTTCAGAAGTAACTGATAGGACATTACCAGAAATGCAGCATGTGCTTCAGAAAAGGAGATGTGAACTTCCCAGCAAGCCCTGCTTTGAGGAGGAGGTTGGTCTAGATGACCTCCACAGGTCCCTCACACTGAAATCTTTTGGTGCTTGTAATTCAGCTGCAGCCAGCAAATGCTGCTTCTACATCCCTCCACGCTGCGAGCGAATCAATCAGGACAGCATCCAGAGAGCAGGGCTGAGCGCTCACAGCAGCAAGTCTCTCCCCTTTATCCATCACTGGACACCATGCACAAAAGGGCGGGATTAGAAATATTTTTGTATGTTCCAAACAAGGCCTGCATTCTTCCTCATCTTTGTGTGGGTCTATGCTGTGTCACTTCAGAAACTCCTGTAGGTCTGAATCAAAGCCTAAGCCAAAGGGAAACCATAGATTGCCTCACCTGATTACACCCTCTGCAGTTCATCCCTCCAGGTAATCCTGTTGCATTGCCTGTTACCCAAAGAGCTCTGTGTTTTCATTACAGACATTAACTGCACTAAATACATGTAGCAAGAGCATAAGTATTTACAGATTCTGCCCAACATTAGAGAATGACATCAAACCATTTCAGTTAAGAACAAACTGATCACCTCAGTATCCACATGGACCACAGATCATTTTCTTCTCCCAGCAAAGTCAGAACTAGAATTCAGAGCAGACTAATTGACTTATAGTCCATCCAGGTACGTCTGGTGCACTAATTATGCTTTTTACCTTCTCACTCTGTGTCAGAATAAAAATGCCTTGATGTGCGGCACTGAGGAAAGGCAGACACAACCTCACTCATTCAACTGATTTTCCCCAAGAATAAAAGAACAGAAATACTTTGGAGAGGTGGTCTGTCAGTGCTGCAGCTCTGTGCTGGTGTCTCAGCAACACGGCAAAGGCTGTGCCATCGAGGCTGGCAGCTTCTCAGTCCGAGGGCACACACGGACGTTTTCTCCTTCCCATTCATTCCTCTGGCTTCAAAACTAGTGTCGCTTCCTTCAGGTGGGCCAAACAAGTGTGCTTTTCTTGTCCTGTTTCTCATTTTCATTCAGCCACCAGCCCAGAGAGCTCTCTGTCCTAACCTAATTCCCCCATGCGTTAGACATGCAGACCCAGCATCAGCCCACTGCTTTGATTGCCCAGGTACCTTCGTGGACTCGTGGGCATAACACTGAAGGTGGACAGTTGAAATGCCAACACCATATATCTGTACTCTTGCAGAAGCCCAGGTGCTTTCTCAGTGTTCATTCCCTTGCTTTTTGTTCTGCCCCTCTCCAGATCAACAATTTCCACCACTGATATCTTCCACAACATATTATCCATGCAAGAATTCGAAGCACAAAAGAATTTTGAGGCAATGCAAAATTAATGCAATATAAAAGAGCACAAAATAAACTCTACAGAGTACCTAGTTCATTTTCAAATTTCTGTCCACAGACTCCTACACTCCTCCACTTAGCTTGATCCCAAAGCACCTATAGATACCACATGGATGTGGACTGAGCACGTAATTTGCTTTAAAGGCATCTTTTGTTTCTATTTCTTCCCTCTTTCCATTTGATCTTCATTCTGTCCATTCTCTTTCTTTCCTGCTCCCTCCAGCTGATCGCAGGGGCCAGACTAAAGACAGAGAGAAAAATCTAGTGAAAGAAATAGGGTCAGGAGCAGCCTGAAATCAGAAGATAATGAGGAATAAATGGGAGGAACTTGAATGGAGGGACAGTCGTACACAGGAGCTTTTAGGTGGGCCAGGGCTGTAGAGATTGATCCAAAGTAGAAAAGCTGCCACTGCACTGCTGGGAGTAACTGGGAGAGCAAATACTCAGGATATCTTGAAAGTAAGGTGTCATAGTAGTGGAGAATTAAAAATAGGTTGAAGCCCAGTTTGTCTTCATAAGTTTTCAGGTCACCAGGCACTTGAGAAAAAGACCATAAAGACCCTGTACAGCTGTGTGGACGGGAGAAGCGTGGTTCCATAGATTCAGGAGAGTATTTAAGGGACTTCACTCCAAGGCTATCATGCAGCAAGTTCAGCTCCTGGGGGCCGAGCTCAGCCCCTGCAGAGGGGACACGATGCTGCTGACCAGCTCCCAAGCACAGACTGTGACACACGCGGACACTGTGGGGATCAGGGGTGGGGAAACATAACCCAAGTACAAACAGTGCAAAGGACGGACCCGACGATGTTCATCGCTGCACGGGTTGGGATCGGACCCACAACAAGCCTCATGCGAATCACTGGCAACAGCAGCAGCGAACGCTCTGCTGTGACCCAGGTCCTGCAGAGCTCTTTCACTGTGGCTTCAGCGCTGCTTTAACCGATACAGTGGCTGCAGGGTTTGGCTATACAACTGCAGGGTTTGGACTTGGCGTCAGTCTGTGGCCAGTTATTGCTCTGCTTGGGAACAAGTCACAAGTCTTTTCAAAAATCCACATTCCTCTAACAGCTGTGGCTCTAAGACTAATCACATTTGGGCTGGTTACAAACCAGGTCCTTCTGCCTAATCGCATCCATACGGATTCCTATTTAAACAGTTACTGGGGGAGGGAGAGAAAAAAAGAGAGGAAACAGAAAGTGAAGCAATTGATTTTAAAAATTTGCATTTCCCAATCAGAGCCCCGAAGGTGGCTCACCACAGTCCGACAACAGAAGAGCGAGCACAGGGAGGTTTTAAATCAAGGCAAAAAGACAGAACATAATGCTTCCAATTTACTTTCTTAAAATGAAATGTGCAAGCTAAAAAGCCATGAATAAGCACTACCAAACACTGCAGCCACCAAAGAGATTTTTAAGCCACTGCCCTCCCCGCCCCCCCCTTTATCTTGTCAAGAGATTGTATTTTCATTGTGTTCCTATGGTAATTTAAATCAAGCTAGGGCTCAGAGCATACAGTGTAATTGTAAGTCGGCGAGGGTTTGAATGCCATCACTGCTGTGCAAATAACATCAGCAGCTCATCAGCTGTGTCAGTAACATTGCAATTATGTAAGCAACTATTATTTCCACCCCTGATATGCCATATTAGAACGTATTTTGGGGGCTGGAGCTGACAGGTATTCTATAAATATGAAAAGCACGCAACAGCAGCCGAGCCAAGGTTGGAGGTAGGAACATCGCTCCACTGGAGCTTGCTGGTGGCATCACCAGAACTGCAGGCACTGCTGGATGGTCCTAAAGGAGCTGCTGTGAAAACCGTTCCCCTTCCTCTTACAAGCTTTGCGCTCACCCAAACACAAGCACTACCGCCGAAACAGAAAAGATTACTTCCAACTGCAAAAGAAAGCTACATAGGCATTTTAATTTATTCTGTCGCAGAAGAGTCTTATGGGTTTGGTGGTTGTTTTTAATATGGCTAAGCCCCCGGACTGGAGCTTGGCACTAAGTGATTAGTCTTTCCGAGACTTCCCGTGTGCTTTTGGCCAGATCAATGATTTCCTGAGCTTTCATTTCAGCTTCTTAAAAATGAGGCTAGCATAATGATTCCCTTCTCTAATCCTCCGCATGTTTGTATGGTGAGCACGTCACCACAGAGCCAGCCCGTGAGGCTGGATCTCTTGGCAATGGAGGAGCAAAAGCCCACGAGCAAGCGCCCATCAAAGTTCACCGGCACGGTAGAAAACTCTTTTCCATGGCATCATGCACGATGCTACGCAAAGCCGATCCGCTGCAAATGTCACCCCTGCAAGCTTCGCGGGGAGGAGGCGGCAGAGCTGCTCTCCCAAACACGTTCCTCGTGCCCTCGGCACCCCAGCGTAGCAGAAGTAATGGTCCATAAACTTTTCTGCTCGCCTCATTGTCTCTCACACACACACGCCCATCACCAACACAAACCATGGCCAGAGCGCATGGCACGGCTTCAAGTTCAGGGCCGAGGAGCACCTTAGTAACGGCTCAATATATGAATAAATACAATAGGAAGCCACACTCAGATTAGTTCCCAGTCAGCTGTTCTGTGTTGTGCCTAAAGAAGAAACACTCCACTGAACGCATGTCAGGATGATAGATTAGGACTTCTTTTTTTTCTTCTCCCCCTTTTAAAAAAAGCGATTTCAGCTTAAAATGCAATTGGAAGATTGATTCTTTAGATCCTCACATTATATAGGGTCTAGGTCTTGAGTATAACTCAGCGTGAAGGGAGATGATTCCCATCTTCACCTTACAGAAACACTGCATATCGCAAAAGCTGACAATGGGTATGAATAAAGGTAAGGTATGGGGAGAGATAGCCATAAAATTATCAATGCCTGCTATTTACAGAATACCTGTCCAAAGCACTATTAGTCTATATTTTTGGTTGCTTTGAAACCACCCCCGCAAGGAAGATGTGTCTATCTGAACGCACTCTTTATGAGAATAATTACAGTTTTATTTTGGGGGACACCGAGGTCATCTATTCTTTTACTGTATTCTCTAGTGTGTCATATTCATGGTAAAACATATTTATTCAGATCTTCATTTGATTTAATAGAAAAATGGTTATTGCCACAGCAATGGGCAATACTCATTTTTCTCCATGTGTTGATTTTTGGCATATAAATGCCAGAAGCCTCTGTTCTCTTTCCTTATCAAGAAAAACTTGCCTGAGATTAATTTCCTCATCATCCCTTCCTTTTAAAGTGGCTGTTTTTCAATGCCATTTAAAGACAGAGTTGCGATAAATTCCTGTTTTCAATGTACAGATTTCAGTGAAAGAGTCTATTCCACAGCAGTAATTGAATCCAAATGGAAAGGGACAAAAAAAAGAATAAATTACAAAATCAGGTACTGCTACTCCAGCCAATTGTGTGAGAGGTGCCCGCATGGTTTTTTGTTTGGTTTTTCTAATGACAATAAGCTTTGAAATAAACTGATTGCAAAAGTTTTTAAAGTTTTTATAGAGGGGAAGGGACATGCTTCTGATACCACTTCTTTATAATTGCAGATTGGACTAATTGAAGACTACTTATACCAAGTAGCAGACACATACTTAAAGAAAAAAAGGCTGAGAAGAGCTAGGACGGAAAGAATTAAACTGAAGAGGATTCAAAGTACGCAGCAACATTATTAGAGGAAAGGAAATACAAAACTGTCCCTTACCAGCCCTAAAGACATGGCCGCACTGCAAACAAGAAAATTAACCCTGTAGATATTTGACAGATAGGTCAACAAAAGGCACCCTTCCACTTCGTGAGCCTTCCCCTCACTATGGGGTATCTTTCGCAAGACACTCCTGCGCTCCTTTAGTCTTCACTGTCAGAATAAATGTCTGTGAAAAGCTTGTTTTAAATGGTGTTGTTTGTTTAAATAGTAAAACCCAGCCAAAAAGGGGCCTGTATGTTCTACTCCGAGAATATTCTGCAAAATCTCTGTAAAATCCTCCTGGTTTGGTTATTGCCCAAGAAGCACTGCAAACAGGGATCCCTCCATCCTCAGCGGAGAGGAGTTCAGCCTCACACTGCCTGCTTTCCAGGTCAATGCCTCACACTACAGGTATTGGTACAATCTATAGGTGAAAAATGGCATCCAGCACCTTAGGGCTGCGGCAACTACAAGTGCAAGAATCGCAACACTACAAAAGGAGAAGAAAACAAAAAAAAAAAAAAGAGCCCAGCTTCTGCCCCGTGGTTAAGAACGTGAACTCCTCCACTCTCATCTGTGCCCTAAGGATGATTTTTTTCCCCATTAGATGGTAATTGTTGTTTTAAAAATGCACTGACACTCCAGGAAGAGAATAACCGCACCCGCCTTCTCCAGTGTAAACCTCTTGGTGAAGGATCAGCGCCACGTCTTGCCCTCCAACAGCAGCAGCCTGTCGCGTAGGCACATCTTACACCGCTTTGGTCTTCAAGGGAGCGCAGGTTCCCAACCCCCCTGAGAGCTGTCATCTGCGAGCAAAGCAAGGCACCTGCTTTTCAGCAGAGCTCACCTTCTCAGACGATGTTTGACAGGCATCCCCAGCTGACGGGCGCTGTCTCTTCTAAGGCTGGCAGTTCCTTTTTGCTCACTGTGTTTACTTTGTATGAAAATAACCTCACCCTACAGAAACAGCATTCATTTAATTCTATTTTCTCTTTCAAGGGTGACTTTAAAACAAAAAGATAGAAATAAAGGAAAAATATACCCTCCAGCCCTATGTTTTAATTAAAAATCCAGGACCTCAAAGGTACTCAGCCACTAAATTCCCATTATCCATTTATCACAGATAGAAGTCTAAATCCTACAGATTTTTAGCTGCTAGAGACCGTATTCCTAGTCTCTCATAAAAGATTTTTGAAAACTAAGAAAGAACTGGTAAAAGCTTTGATGGTCCTTTGTTCACTCTTAACAGAATAAGTATAAAGAACTCTTTTTGAGAAAATCTGAGCTAGCTTGAGCTCCTTAAATACGTGGGACAGAGAAACGAAGAATTATTGCCCTTTGGAGACGGCATTATTTTGCTACGGAGTTGGTTTTGTCAGACGAAGTTTTATGACACATAGTGGCAATCATCCATCTTTGATGAGCAGAGACACACTAAATCACACAGTCTGCTCCCCGGGGATCATCAAGTCACAATCAACAGACAGTTTGGTAAATCATGAGGCTTTTAAGCAAATACTCTTAATTTGATGCAAACTGGCTTATAATTCTGCAATATTTAATGCAAAATCAGGTGTTTTCACCTAGAATGATGAAAAAGAACCAAGCGCGCTGAAAACAGCTGATCTTTGGGAACGAAAACACAGCACCGCCAGTGAAAACCAGTTGTCTGCGCAACAGAAACAAGCTGATCCGAGTGCACGGCGAAAGATGCGCCAATCTCACCGCAGAGCTTCGCGAGAGACCCAGATCCGAGACAAGATGCGACATCTCACTTCTCAGCTATCAGGCAGGGCGGAAAACCTGTCTGATGCTGCAGATCAGTACATCGCCGAGAGAGAGAGAGGCCACAGCCCAAATCAATCTGTTGGGTGAGACATCTCGGCCAACACCCGGCTACTGTGCCCTTTAGCCTCCAGCAAGCCACAGAATAAAGCAGTTGTCAGGAGATGAACTCAGCTACCAAACAACACAAAGCAGACACAAAAGGAGCCTCTGTCATGAAGAAAGGGCATTGCTGTTTTCCAAAAATAACCATCTGTAACGCACAGGCCCACATCTGCATAGTGTTTTACTCAGGACTTGTCGAGCGTCAGCTTTACTCCACGAACTCTACGTTTTGGCTGGACAATGGGGAAGCAGGGCAGAGGGGTGGATTCCTGATGCTTGCTGCGTGCAGTATAGTTGCTAAAGCATGAGATTCACTAGGATCAACAACAAAAATTGAAACAATAATAATTAACTTGCCTTTTGGAAACATTGTGGGCTGTATTATAATTATTCTCTGGCCTCTTAACCAGTGATTTCTATAGGGTGATGACGTATACCATGGCTCCTCTCATTCATGAAATATCATTACAAGTTGGACTTCATCCCTCATCCTCCTTTTTGTTAAGGGCACATTAAAAACAGCCTGGCTTATGGTTGCTGTGGCTATTTTAGTCTCCTACACAAGGACACATCCGAGACCACTCCCCAGGAGTCCCACTTTCAGGTCACTTCTCTTTCAAAGACTGGTTTCCAAATGAATGATGGGGGTTTGCTTCCCTCCATCACAGATTTTTTTTTGTCACAAAAATGATTTATCTGTTGACAGCTGGGTTCACTGGCCCCAGGCAACTGATGGCAGTAGAAACCACTCAATGAAAAGCAAAGAACGCTATACCAATTTAAAGAAACGGGAACAAAAAAAGGTATAAACACCCTGTCCCCTAAGACTGCCTCATAACTCTTCTGCTTGCTCTTGCCATCCTTGCTTCCTTGTAAACGCCAGAATTTCTGTACTCAGCCCTGGAAGGGACAACAAGCACAAGCAGAGTCGGGTGTTAGGTATATGCCTGCTGTTGGGTTACCACACTAATTACGACTCAGACAAGGTAGACCAGACAGTGTTTGGTCTTAAAATATATTTTTCACTTTCACTATTTGTGAAGTCTCTTCTGTCAAAGGGGTATGATAAAAACACTTGAAAAATACAAGTTTGTGATTCAAAGTGACGGAGAATAAGTCTGCAGCTAAAGTATTAAACACACCACCAGAGGAAGAAGATGAGATGCACTCGTGACACCCAGTGTTAGGGATTAAATGAGGAGATGAACTAATGGCATCCACAGCCAGGCATCAAACCAGTAGTCTGCTGTCGCTAATCTCCCTCTGTGGTCAATGAGAGAGACAGTGCTCAGAAAATAATTTGGAGCACCTCAGTCACATTCCTGTTCTCCCTCCCTCCCTCCACCTTCCTTTCACACCAAAGGTGAAGGAGAAAAGAATGGTTACATCCAGTTTGCCTTCAAATTTAACTTTAGTGATTGTAAGCTCCTGAGAACAAGGGCTGTCTTACAGTCTGCTCTAGGTGGCCTCTTAGGAACTAGCACATTACTACCTCCACATAAAACACCACATAAAAAGAACTCTCATATTTAGGTTTCTATAAACTAATAATAAGTTTATCAACACAGAAGGCACAGGAGGGATATTCGGCACCACGCAGCGCTTCCAAAACAAAGTCCATGGCTGAAATTTCATAGAAGACTCTATATACATATATACTCTATTACACTTACAACCCAGCTGAGAAGTCGTACAAATGCAACCCGCTGCTTATTCAGAGGCGAGATGTGATCGCACATCTTTAATCTCAAAAACCAGAACAACAGGAGGCCACAGTTTTACGTTTTTCCATTTGAACTACAACCATTGTCACAAAAGCCAATTTCACATCGGGCTGTTACTTGTTCTTGTTGCAATTCATCAGGAGAAGACATGAGATCTAAGATACCCCGGCAAAGCATGGCCCATGAATAATACAGCGCTTTGCTTTGACCTTTTCAGTTTGCTTTGTAGTGTGATTGGCCAACCATTCCTGTCCTCCCCTGTTAACCACCCCATTAACCTGGGAGGAGAAAGTGGAATGGACAGACAATTAGCTGGCAGAATACTAAAAAGGTTAACACAGGAGCGCACAGCCCTAGCTTTCTTGAGCTTTAATGGGTATTAAGATTTTGAAATCTCTTTCAAAGTCTGCAGGGAAAAAATAAGAAATCATACAAGATGAACTTTGTTCTCATTTCAGATGATAATCGTGTAGTTCCTTTCAGATGTCACACTTGGATGATTCTAGTTTACGCATGAATAAACCGAGAAGAATGTTTATTTTTACCCCTCTCAGATATGAAGAATATTCAATTAGACCGGGGAACTTTTTCTTTGAAGCTGGTCATTCTTGAGTAAAGGAAAATTGAAGAAAGTAGAGGCGAAAAAGCTCCATACGGCAATCTTCTTTCGAAAGGTCACACTTGCTACACTAACTACGCGAGCTGAGTCATTCCAGTCATTTCCTAGTCAAAGAGAGGAAGCGGTGGAATTCTTGCATCCTGTGGGCCATCAGCTGCAGGAGGCTTTATCACGGTATTCACCAAGACTGCCAGGGCAGGCGGATCTCACGTGTCTCAGGCACATGTAGAAAATGAGGCACAGCAGGTCTTGGTGGAGATTCAGCAGTTCCTGGTAAAAGCAGCTGCCCTGTTTCTCTGGGGTGTCATACATCTTTGTAAAAGCTTTCAATCTTTTTGAAAGATCACCCTATCATGAATGACACAAAGTTATATAGGCAAGTATCAGAAAATGTTTTCTGTAGTCAGAAGACCTAATTTCAAGACTTCACACGAGCTGCTTCTGCTCGTAAGGATTTTCAAAACATTATTTTGGTGGTTCAGCTACGATGACCCGGGACAGGGGTTTTTTTCAGACGCTGCCATATTCTTGTCTTTGTACAAATGTGTTACTCTGACTTGCTATTAATAGCAATGACATGAAACACTTACTTTAGATGGAAGAAGTGGGGGCAAAGAGAAAGGGACCTTTCCGCCACCCATTAGAACGCCAAATTTAACATTTATTACGGGTATTGACCGCAATAACGTAGAGTCTTTTTTATTATCTCACAGTAATAATATAATCTCTATTTTGCTTAAGGTGAACGGTGATATT